TAGCACCTTTCCAATGTGCTATATGAAGGGTTAGGTTTCAATGGTCTGAGGCAGACAGCTGTTGATGTATATCAATCTAGCATCTACAACTCCTATTGCCAGCACCCCAGTTTTTCTTGAGAATCTATGCCTTTCCCCATCTCAGGGCCATGCATTTCAGGTGTAGCTGCCTCCTGGTGCAAGCTCCAGGCATCTCTGGCTCTGGGATGAGCCATTAATCCCCCTGACCAGTAATTGGTGCAGGGATAGATAGGCATGACAACCAAGTTGGCCCAATGAGAAGGAATCTGGTGACAGTAGTTGGAGGTACTAGGAAAGAGGCGTTTTTGTCCTGTAGGACTTGCATCCAGCCTGAGCTGGCCCGAGAATGCTACAGTGCTAAGGAAAGTAGAGCTAAGATTAGCAGTGGTATTCCAATGACATTGCTTGAGCCCTTCAATCCAATTTTCTCCAGACTTCAACTTAAGCCAATGCATTTTTTTTTTTTGCCTATACTAGTTTGAGTTTAGTTTCTATCACTTGTAATCCTGAGAATTCTAATCACTAAAATTTCTAATTGCCCATTCACCTCTGAAGATCTGTTGATCTTTGCGTCTCAAATATAGTTTCATTGCATTATCTCATTCTAGAAGCTTCTTCATATTGATCTCCTGACCTCTGTCTGTTTCTCAGCTGGTGTGTAGCTGCATTAAGGGCCAAGTGTGTGTTCTGTCTCCCTTGGGTCTTATTCAGACAGCCTAGTCCACAGCAGGATTCCCATCCGTGCTTCTATCCTTCGCTTCTTCTTCTTTCTTTTTTCTTTATTTACTGAGATGGGTACTTTTGGGGTGTTGAGCCAAATCAACAGATTCCCTGGGTTCTCCCTCAGTTTTTTAAGAAACATAAACTGAAAAACCAGTCTGTGCTATAATGTGTCACAGGTGACTTAATAAAGCTAAGTACAGCACACAGTAAGGATACTGTATGGAAAAGAAGGTCACTTGTAGGGAGGGAAAAGGTTTTATAAAGGAGATGTCTCGGGAAAGATGTTCACTTGTTTGCTTCATAGGCTTGGAAAGCAATTCTTTCTAGGCAGAGAGAAGGTACAAGAAAAGGTTCTGAGGCATGAAACAGGCAGGCAAGTTCATAGAACCCCATCTAATCAGCTCCATTAGGCTCTAGTGTAGATTGAAACGAAGCAATAAGAGATGTGGCTGGAGAGACTGAAAAGGGACCACAGAAAGAAGAACATTGAATGCCAGGCTGAGTTTAGCCTATGTGGCAATGTTTCCCAAGTGTATTTTCAAGATACCCCAACACACACACACACACACACACACACACACACACACACACACACATTAAAAAGTCAGGTTCCTGGGACCTAATTTCCTCTCTAGAATAAAAGCTTCTAGAGGTCAAACCCTGTATCTTAGGTCATTCTTATAAAACCATCAATTTTGGCACACCCTTCTGCAAGCAACAGGAACCCTCCCACTTCTTCTGTGACC